ACAGAAGGGTGCTGGTGGGCCAGGAGAATGAGGAGAGATTGTGGAGATTAAAGGTCAAAGTGAAGAAAAAGAAGAGGTTTACTTTGACTAAAGGAGTAGGATGACTGAGAATATAGTAGGAAAGGATGTGTAGTTAGGGAGAACAGTGCTAGAATTCAAGAGCTCTGAGTACAATAGTTTAAAAAAATTAAATCTTAAAAGAAGTCAGCTTTGCTAATACTTTTACCCTCAAACTGTCTTCCCTGTCTCAGAAAGCAGTATTACCATACCACGAATGTGGACATTATCCTTCATTCTGCCTCTCTCATAACCAGTCTATCAGCAAGTCTTGATCTACCTCCAACTCATGTCAGGAGTCTTTATAGCTCCCTCCATCTCCGCTGTTACCACCGTAGGCAAAAACTCACTGAGACTGCATTGATTGCTTCAAACCATGCTTCATACAGCAGCCAGATGTGAATTGTGAAGAGTGTCAGGCTCCTGCTTAAAAACTCACTGGTTACTTCTATACATTTAGATTAAAACCCATGGCTCACCCTGTCTGAAAGGGCAAGCTGCCCTCTGCCTCACTCCTTCCGTCTTCCTCTCTTTAGTAACTGTGCTGTACTTACACTAATCATTTGTTTCTGTCTGTTCCCTCTGCCCAAATGCTTTTCTTTACCCATGATCTTTGTATCTTAGTTCCTTGTTTAAATTGAAGCTTAAATGTTATCCCAAGGAAGCTTTTCCTAACCACACAGTTACTTTCTAGCATGTTATCCAGTTTCATTTTATACATATTACTCCGTGAAATTTTATTTGTCTTTTTATCTGTTTTCTGTTTCTTTGAACGAAAATGTCAATTTCACAAGAGCAGGGATCTTGTCTTGTCCTCCGCTGTATTCCTAGAACCACGACAACAATGACTAGCACATAATTGGTGTTTAACAAGTATCTGTTGAGCGAATGAATAATAAAAATAATATAATCAATTTTCTGACTTCCTTCTTGCCAGGAACAGTATATTTCTGCTTCAGGGTATATCACAGTAAAATGTATGGCCTTCTCTTCACAGGGAGAAGCAGTACGTCTGTCAAGACAGTTACCCATGTACTTGTCAAAGGAGGATGTCCAAGACATTATCAACAGAATGAAGCACCAATTTGGAAATGAAATTAAAGGATGTGTTCATGGTCGCCCATTTTTTCACCATTTAACTCATCTTCCAGAAGCTACATGATTAAATATGTTTAAGAAAATTTGTTACTATTGAAATTGATTTGGTCATAAAATAATATGAGTCAATATTTAAACCCTGTTTGTACTATCATGAGTTAAATGGTTATTTTATAAGTGAAGATTCACTGGCTTGTTTGTATATTAAAACATTTCAAAAACTGTAGAAAACATAAATAAAAGAATATAGGCTGTTAATTCATTTTGTTCTCAAGAAGGAGCCTTTATAACAAATTGGAATATACCTAGAATTCTTGAGTGGTTGATTTACTGGATGCTTTGGACTAAATTGTGTCCCCAAATTTCTATGTTGAAGCCCTAACCCCAATGTGAGGGTATTTGAAGATGGGGCCTTTAGAAGTTAATTAGATTTAGATGAAATTGTGAGAGTGGACCCATCAGTGGCATTAGTACCCATAAAAGAAGAGGTACCAGAGAGTTTGCTCACTTTCCTTTTCACCCACTATCCCACCTGTACCCCAAGTGGGGATAGGGAGAGAAGGTGACCCTCCAGGAAGATAGCCCTCAACAGACACCAACAGTGCTGACACCTTGATCTTGGACTTCTGGCCTCTAGACCTATGAGAAAGTATCCGTTTAAGCCACCAGTCCAAATTTTTTTATGGCAATCTGAGCTAATACACTGGATCAGTCCTATGCGGGGAGAAATCACAGGCGCAGCCGGCATATCTGACAGTAGTTGTCAATCCTTGTTGAAAGGTTGATGAGACAGGAAGTGGGAGAAAGAAAATGAAGTTCAGAGGAAGAAGAACATAACTTTGCAAATCCAGTCATTTACTTCTCAAGGTAACAGTTTAGAAGTTGCTGTCTTTTACATGGAAATTATTAGGCTTTGGGGTTAAAATTTGTTAGCATGGGAAGACCTAGATTTTTAACAAAAATTTTACATTGATTATTCATTGAGCATGTGTCCTCAAAAACCAGCTCCCACAGTGCACCAAAATACTTAGTTTAAAAAATGTTGAAACATGATTTTCAGTGAATGTAGTTTTGTACAAAGACATGCTAGTGTAACAGTGTCTCCACACTTAACACCATCTCCCCTATTTCTCAAGGAGAATTTTTAAATTCTTAAGACGCTTGTGTTAAGAGGTACAAATTGTGATACCTGGAATTCTACCTATACCAGGCCTTATTCCTGTCAACATTGTCATGTTTTCTGTCAGCCAAATCTATATTTTTCTCCATTTTCCCCTTTACAAATTTGTATCCCTTCTCAGACCTTTCTGGGAGTAATCATTTTAAATTTACCCGATATGTTGAGGAAAGAAAGTCATAGAAGATGACAAATTTTGCATCATACATTTGTACCAGCCCTAAGCAAAATTTTGGTCTTATTTTCTAGCTGATATAGTGTGTTGTTTAAAAGGTCCTACGACAGCCTCAGATGAATAAATTTGTTGCTTTTGCTTTTCAGTTCTGGATTCTGCCAAATCGGGTTAGTAGTAATGATGAGAGATATTCACCTATTTGCTGGATACACTATCCACTTGCCTTGTATGATCTCATTTGATCTTCACAACAAATTTAGGATTGTAGGTACTGTTAAGAGTTATCCTGCAACTCGCATTCTTTATCACATACTGTCTGCAATGAAAAATGGGCCCTAAAGAGTCTTATGGTCAGCATAAGTACTTGGGAAAAAGTATAAAACACTTCCTGATGCCCTTTTAAGGAATGCTAGATCAATTTAGGGCTGTACCATTTTTCTAATGGGAACCTGAGGAAGTAGAAGTGGACGGGGGTTAGGGAGGTTTGGTTGAGGTTCCGGCTCCTGGCTCCCAAGGGGAGGAGGAACCCTCCCCCCACGGACTGCCCTCTCCATCCCCCACAAGCCCTTGCGGTAGCAGCTGCCCTGCGGGACAAGATGGCTGGAGCGCTGGCGAAGCCCTGGCTTCCAGAAAGGAGGTAAGGGCTGCTGCAGGCGAGGAAGCCAGCTCGAGATTAAGGCCTAGGAGAGGAGATTCAGAGGGAAAGGGAAACCTCACCCCAAAATGCCCATTATCCTCACTGTGTTAGGGCTTGCCCCGGGAAGGGGAGGAGAAGGGCTCAAGGTGTGAATACTGCAAAATGCTCTTGGGATCCCAGCCTAGGCTATGTAGCACAGGAGTGACGCCAGAGCCATGCAGAGGTGAGGTCTCTAGGTTCCTTTTGGCTGGACCTTTGCCTTGAGAGTTGATATGCATGGTCCAGCAATACCTATGAGGTTTCAGATATTGAACGTACTAAAACGTTAGGCCTGGATTCAGAGGGACACATTTTTGTTATTTTCATTGGCTATTTGAGTCTGATTTTACCCAGATTTTGTGGCTGAGATTGTAGATCGCACCCCACTGCAGCCTACATTTCTTAAAATGTAAACATGACTCATTTATGGCACACCCAAAAGTTTACCCACCTACTTAAAAATTGAAGTTGTAAAGCAAATTAAAATGCCACGAATTATATTAAAGTAGTTAAATATAATTCTCCAATATAAATGCTCCAATTACAAGAACCAGACTTGTTCTTGTAATTGGAGCATTCTAGATTGATTCAGGTAAACCACTGCCAAAAAGACTCTAAGTGATCTAATCTGACCAGTTTTACAGATGAGAAAATAGAATCTGGAATGATTAAATGATTTGCCCACAGCTGAGTGCCCACAGCTGATCTACTATTCTACTAGTTCCACTTCAAATGTTGATATTATCATAAACTAAAAGAAAAGTAAGTACTAAAAGAAAAATCATAAATTTTACTGCAAAGCCAAATTTAAAAAATGACAAGATTGTCAACTTCCTTTCATAAGTATGAATAACCTATAGTTCACTATTATCTTATTCTAGATCTTTGGGTTGATCTAACCTGAACTTAACATTTTTCATCTTAAAAACCTTCATTGCTTCCAGTAACACACCATTGCCCTCTTACCACTTCTGCCTTGAGATTGTTTGCTTGCTTATTTTTTTTATCACACTTTTAATTCCTCCTTAAACTACTATAAGTTAATGTAAAGATCCCTTTCATTTTTAAAATCCTGTCCCAGTGGTTATCTAATTTGAGCCACACTTGAAAAACCACTGTCCTATCCTGTATCAAATATCAAAGTTTCCCTAACAACCTTAAGTTCCAGTTCTTTCAGCTCATATTTTTTTCTTACTGATTCTTAATAAAATCTATCATCTCAGTAAACAAAAAACAAACAAGCTTAGAAGACTTCACCCTGACTGTACTGTTAGACATTAGTTTCTTCATCTCTGAAATGAAGATGTTGAATTTGACCCACAAGTGTGCAGTCATTTCTAATATTCTGTAACTTTGTTTCTTCCTATTTTGTCTTAAATATTTATTATGACCTGAAATGACCTCTTTTCAGTTATCACAACATTACTATGGACAATATTTAAATGCCTCTGAGTTAGCCCACTTTTTTTTCATGAAATCTTCTAAACTAGTCAAGGGGAAAGTAGATTTCCTCTACCCTACTCAAATTGGACTTGAAATCACTAACAGTCTCTTCCATCTCCACTTTAGTTGTATATTTATTCCTTTGTTTATTCAGTAACATTTATTGAATGTCACAGTGACAAACACAATACAGAGAGAGAAGACATTCCTTGCCATCCAGAAAAGAAAAACTATTGCAATGTAATATTGCCACCATTGGGGCCCATCAGAGTTGGTGTCACCCCAAAGGCAGGGGCAGGGAGAGAGATAACGACAGTGCAGAAGTGTAGTTAGCATTTTCCCTTGGTTCTTCCTAAAGTGATGCAGTGAAGAATCACAGGTCATTGAGATTTAATAGTTTTATTAAAAGTATATTTTAAAGAATGCCCCAAGGAGGCACATGGAGAAAGACAAAGCATACCCTAAGGTGGCACATTGTCCCAGCACTGCAGCCAACACAAAGGGGCCAAAAGGGCCACAAAGGGCAAAAAGGCCTCAAAAGGCCACCAAAAAGAAGAGTACCCAGAAGTGGGAATGTCTGCCTTATATTTGGGCTGTGATGGGTGGTTCCAAAGGCATTCCTAGTGATTGGCAAGTGAGGTCATTTTGATTGACACTTGGCTGCTATATAACTCCTTTCTAGCGCACATGTGCTTACCCAGAATACCGTCTATTATAATTAGATTCATGAACTTCCAGGCATAAACATAGTATTATAATGAAGCTCAAATTGTAGGCAAATTAGGGTAGTATCTTCTGCTCAGGCATCTGTAGCCAGATTAGGCCACCTGAGACTATGACCCTTTCATCCTTTGTCTCTGGGGATGCAGGAGGAATTCTCTAACTACCAATAGGGTGTTCTTTGGGCAGTCTCTGGGCTGGGCCCCTATTCCTTTGTTTCCCTTGTCACTCATGTCTGACTACCTAACAATATGATAAGTATTATGAAGATATATAGTATGTACTGTGTAAGCATGGAGAGCTACCCACTCCCAACTTGGAGAAACCTATGGAAGAAGCTAGTGAGCTGAATCTTAAGGTTGGTAAGGAATTATCTGGGAGAAGAAAAAAAGGGCGAGGCAGAGAAAACAGCATTTGCCAGTGCATTGGTGAGTGCAAGGAATTCTGTATCACTAGATCTTGAGGAATAAATGGATTGGAATTCTCTAACTACCAATAGGGTGTTCTTTGGGCGGTCTCTGAGCTGGGCCCCTATTCCTTTGTTTCCCCTGTCACTCATGTCTGACTACCTAACAATATGATAAATATTATGAAGATATATAGAGAATTCCTCCTGCATCCCCAGAGACAAAGGATGAAAGGCATTTTAATTATGTTTTGTAATTTAGATCATAGAAATGCATCACAAGTTAAGAAATAGACAAGAGATTGTAAATGGATTGAACAAATTTTTGGAAGAAAGTGGTATATTTTCAAAAGTTAATTTACTATTATTTCCTTAAAATTGACTTTTATTTTAAAATTTGCTTTTATTTTATCTAAAAATATTGATAAATTACAGCAAGTTAACTTGCAAGACAGTGAGACTATTCTGCCCCAAAAAATAGATGGTCCTTGACTTATGATGGTTCAACTTAAGCAATACACATTCAGTAAAAACCATATTTTTAAATTTTGAATTTTGATCTTTTCCTGGGCTAGTGTTATGTGATATGCTATGCGATACACTCTCATGATGTTGGGCAGCAGCAGCTCCCACTCAGGCCCACAGTCATGAGAGTAAAC